TAAAGGCTTGAGATGGTCATGTCCTGACTGTTGGCAGCGGGACATTAACTGTTATTAACTTTTCACGGAGACCCGTTATGGTTTCACGGAATTGAGTAGAAATCTCGGCTCCTTGTGGGAAAAGTTTGAGCTCATTAAGTCTAGGTTTGATGAGTGTCGCTTTATTGGACACTCATCTTCTACTCGTAGTGTAGCGTGTGGGACGTCAACTCTGGCTTTCTCCAAATCTAATTCGTTGGTACAAGTTACCGCTCCCTCTAATTCTAAAATGAACAGTAATGTTTCCGATATTGCTGAGTCGGTTGGTAGCAAAACAGTTACAAACAAACCGGCAAATCCATCGGTTTTAAGCTACGCTGAAGTGGCAAGGGTATCTCCGCCCAGAGCCGCCACTCACTCTAATCAAGCGCCATCGCCTAAAAGTAATGAAGAGAAAAATAAATCATCCTCTCCTCCTGGCTGTTCGCGTGTGAATGCTGGTCACCAGACTGGGCAAGTCTCACAAGCTGCCGGTACAAGGGCGATAACCCCATCTTTATTTTCCCCAACTCGAAACTCTCCTACCGTGAACCCCCCTCCTGTTCCAAATAATGACATTTGCTTGAAGGCAGTTCCTCCCAGAAAAGCAATATTTGTGTCAAGACTGGCACCTGAAACATCGGTGGATAACATAAAAGGTTATCTGGCGACGAAAGTCCCATCAGTTAACTTAAAGCGTGTTAGCATCTTCAAAATGGCTCCTTTTCAAGCTAGGGCAATCTCCTCTTTTAAAATTTTAGTTCCGACTGAAAACAGTGATATGTTGTTAAACAAATCACTGTGGCCAGTAGGATCCTTAATTAAGGAATTTATCCCTCGAGATCGTCCCCGTAATACCAAGGCAATAGTCTTGTCGCCTTCAAAAAACTAACTGTTTCTTCAGGCCCACTATCTCTCATTTATCAAAATGTTAGGGACCTAAATTCGAAAATTCGTTCCACTTTTCTAAATTCAGTGAGCACGGAGTTTTTCTGTTTGGCCTTTACTGAAACTTGGCTAAAACCCGATCTTCATTCGTCGGAACTTTTTCATAATTCTTTCCGAGTGTTTAGAAATGATCCAGTGAATCGCATTGGTGGTGGTGTATTAATTGCCATATCTGCGTCAGTCCCATCCAAATTAATTGAATTTCCCACTTCTCCTGACGTTGAATTTATCGCTATTCGTGCGAATACGCCTGATAAACATCTATTTATAACCTGCTCCTATATTCCCCCAAATTCCGATATCTCCATTTACAGGAAACACGCTTCCCTCATTTATGAAGTGGCCAAGCGATCTAGACCCACTGACTTGGTCGTTGCATTGGGTGACTTCAATTTGCCTCAAGTCACTTGGTGTAGCACTGATAATTCTGGCTGTTTGATTCCTACTTCAACGTCTGATAGGGCTGTTGTGTTCTTTAGTGAATTGTTTGATCATAATTTGGGTCAATATAATCGTATCCCTAATTGTAATGGTAGACTGCTTGATCTCTGCTTTGCCAATTTTCCCAAGATTTACGTAAATCGTTGTCCACCTTTTAGTTTACCTGAGGATCCTTATCATCCATCAATATGCATTTCCTTTCATCATATTAATGATGGTTTGTTGAAATGCCTTAATGTGCCAAATCAAACTTTTTTAAATAATTATTATGATTTTCATAAAATCAATATTGTATTACTAAAACATCGTCTTTCACATCTGACGCTTGATTTCTCAACCGGTAGTATTGAAAGCTTATTGCCATCGTTCTACAATACATTAAATCTAGCTATTGCTGCATCTGTTCCGATCAAGCATTGTCGACCTCGAAGCAGGTGTCCCCCGTGGTTTAATAAGACAATTAAATATCACAAGAATAGAAAAAACTTGCTATTCAAAAAATATTCGAAAAGTGGCTCTGCGCTCGACTATGTCGCTTACTCGGTGGCGAGGCATAGATTTAACTCCCTCAACCATCATTATTACTGCAGATACCTTCAGTTCATTAAATCCTCTCTGTTTGCTAATCCTAAATTCTTCTTTAAATTTGTTAAGTCTAAAAGAAAAATGTCCACATATCCCTCTCATGTTTCTTTTAATGGCTCTGATTCCTCGGATGATTTTGAAATCTCAAATCTATTTGCTGAGTATTTCCGACGTAACTTTTCGATTGCTAATTTCGATTTATCAGCAAACTACCCATATCCTATAACTAACTCGGTTTCAATACCTAACATGGTTATTTCGGAAGATGACGTTTTTAAAGGGTTGAGTTCTCTAAAATACAGTTGTTCGCCTGGAGCTAATGCCATTCCATCATGTGTACTTAAATCTTGCGCTGTCGAGTTATGTGGTGTGATCTCAAAGATTTTTAACATGTCCTTGTATTTAGGTGTTTTGCCTTCATGTTGGAAGAGTAGTTTCCTTATTCCTATCCACAAGAGTGGAAGTAGACAATTTGTTGAGAACTACAGAGGCATAGCCAAGTTGAGTGTCTTGCCCAAGTTGTTCGAGCGTATTGTGACTCAGCATTTGGCCTTTGCTATTAATTCGTATATTTCTCCGCACCAGCACGGCTTTCGTAAAGGGCGATCTACAGTCACCAACTTGTTAGAGTTTACCTGTCGTATTTTCAAGGCTTTTTCTAGTGGCTCTCGTACAGATGTTATTTACACTGATTTAAGCAAAGCATTTGATATGGTTGACCATAGACTACTTATCTTTAAACTCCAAGCCTCTGGTTTCCCACCCTACTTAGTGAAATGGATAAGCTCTTATCTGCACAATAGATCCTTCAGGGTTTTGTTTAACTCCATCACCTCGGATGAATTCCCCGTTACGTCTGGCGTACCTCGAGGAAGTCACTTAGGTCCTATTTTATTTAGTTTATACATTAATGATCTCCCATCGGTGGTTAATTCCAGCCAGATCTTAATGTATGCGGATGATGTGAAACTGTTTTCTTCCTTCTCTGTTGAATCGCAATCACATCAGCTTCAAGGTGATTTGGATAATTTTGTTGCATAGTGCTCTCTGAATCTTCTGAAACTAAATCTGAGTAAATGTAAGAAGCTTTCATTCTCAAGAAGAAAGTCATTCATTACTCAGTATTTCATAGATTCGCATAAGTTGGAGGACGTCGATTCGATCACAGATTTAGGCGTTCTATTTGACCATAGGTTACGTTTTAACTTGCATATTGAGCTCTCGATTAGCAAAGCTAGGTCCGCGCTTGGTTTTATAAAAAGGTGGTCCAAAGAGCTTGATGATCCCTACATTACGAAAAGGCTGTACATGTGTTTGGTTAGACCCATACTCGAGTATGCCTCAGTTGTATGGTCTCCTTCATATAGGTGCTACGTAGATTCAGTTGAATCTATTCAAAAGCAATTTTGGCTGTTTGCCCTTAGAAATTTGGGTTTGGATCCAATTGCCTCTTTTCCTCCGTATTAAAATAGGTTGCTTCTGCTGTCCCTACCGTCTCTTGAGAAACGTAGATTTGTTCTTGGCGTTTCCTTTCTAATTAAAGTAATAAATGGTGCTATTGACTCGCCTTCATTACTTGGTGAAATAAGCTTTAATGTCCCTAACCGCTTCTCTAGGCACTTTATCTTGGTTAAGTTTAATCAGTGTAAATTTAATAATGGACTGTTCAATCCGCTCAGAGTCGTTTGCAAGAACCTAAATGACGTCTACCACTTATTCTCGTTATCGGACTCTTTAAAGTCCATTAAAGCAACATTGCTTAATACGCGCGGTTTACCTATGTTGTATTTAAACTAGCTTTTATCCTTAAAAAGTCGTTACGTTTCGAAAGTGAATTATTGTCAATTTATTATCGGTTGCCAGGCTTATGCATGTTTGCGATGGCTTAGGGGTTCATTTGCAATTTGGTCCTGTACAGGTTGTAAGTGTGCTCCTATGCTGATAGTGTACATGCCTTTTTTTCTTTTTTCTTTTTTTTTTCTTCTTATTTGTTTTATTATGCTTATACTCAATTTTATTGTTAATTAATATAAGTTTTGCATTAAGAGCCAATTGAACTCGACTGTTATTTGGTTAGTTGATTTTCTAGTATAAGTGGAATAAATAAAATAAATAAATAAATAAAATAAATAAATAAAAGCGAAGACTCCCATTCAGGTATGAAGAGAAAATTATTTTTAATTTCCTCCAAGGTTTTTAGAGATTTTTTTTCTTATTAAATTATTGATATAAAAAAATGCTTTCGCGATTTCTTTCCTTTTCATTTTTTTTGTACTGATGCCGAAGTGCTTGAGACTTATTCACCGTCTGTTCAGTTCTTCCCAATCCACTAGCATGTCAAAGACTGAATTTTTACTCCCAATTGCGAACTCGCTTGATCTGTCTCGCCAGTGTTCTCTGTTGTCTCGATAATAAAAAAGAAACATGTACTTTGCTTATACAAAACCCACCCTTATGCTGTACAGACGACCTTTGGACTTTATTCTCTTTTAATAATTCTCTCTTTAACTGGCGCCACTACGCGAGCCGAGAATTATGAAAAGAAATCTGGATTAACGGAATTCCGTTATTAAATGTAATACTAATCTTTTTGTGAAGAGCAGAGAAGAAGCCAACCGACAGAAACCCCTACAATCCGTTACAATCTATGAAATTCATTTAATTTTCCTTTTTTCTCGGAATACCTAATGATTCAGAGAATTTTCACAATAGAAATAGTGGGATTTCGAAGACCTGCTTGCATCCTTCCAGCGAACTAACAAAATTAATATAATATAACAGAAATGAAGCACTGCTCCCTTCTTTCGTATAATTCTTATCATCAATTATCATATCAGTAAACAATAATACACATGTAAATATACATATATATACACCATTGATGTTGCGATCATATGTCGGTTCATTGATAAGCACTTAGTTAGCAATGGAAAGCAGTGATATGAAGAATGAAAAATACGTATATTTATAAATCAGTTTACCATAGAACTTCTCGCTGAGCGTTATTTTAATTTTGCGACTTTAGTTTCGTTCAGGTTGTTTATTCTTTAAATAATAATTCTAATTCTTATTAATTCAATTAAAGATATAATAGAAAGCTAAGTAAGTAATGTATTCAAGCAATTGTACCAAAGATTAACAATCAATTCTTATATATTAAGGGACAAGGCTGTAAGTATAATTCCGAACGTCTTTGCCGATGAACGCACCATATGTACATATATCTTTTGACTTTTGTTTCAGTAAGAAATGTTTAGAAAACAGTGAAATGATAAGAATTTTTTTTTAACCGAAGGTTTTGAACGCCTTCCATAAACTTTCTAATTAAATTTCGAGATCAACATTTAAAAATATCGCAAAGAGATGGTTAAGTTTTTCCTTACTATTATCGACAATTCTTCTCCAAGTTCCAATTTAAGTCTTTAGATTTTAATTAATAAATTAAGGGCAAATTTTAATCCCCACTTTTCGGAACTTCAAAGTTATTGTCAAAGCGCAGTTCTTGTACATTACAATGAAATGACTCGAAAATGAGGCTAGAAGTTCCGTAAAATTTCACTTGATTTATCTCTATCTGTCCGTCTGATGACTGTTAAAATAGCAACCGTTAAAAAAATTGAAGTAGAGGACTAACTACATATGTTGCTAAGTGACGGCCAAAAATCCAGTTTAGAATAGTAGCAAGACTTTCTCAAGAAACCTTTGATAGTTTCAAAATTAACAAAACTCATAATATTCTTAAGCATAAAATTTGTAAATATTAGAACTAATAACCTAGAAACTACAGTAGATATCGATATAAAATTTAAAGCAAATATTTAATTGAGTTACACATACTTTGAAAGGGAACTCCTTCTACTTAGTGCAATATTGGTGAAGAGACCCTTATGACTTATCCAAAACGTATACAACTGTCGTAAAGATTTCAAATCACTAAATGAGTGTCGCAGATTCGATCCAAATCTCTCTCATTTTAATGATAAATCGTCGCTAAGGCAAATGCAAAAATAAAAAGTAATAAAAATATTTTTAATTGTTGTTATCTTATCGAATTGTCGGAGATTATTAATTTAGAATAAAAACTATTTGAGAGTGCATGTGTTTGTTTAGCTTGTTTGTCTAAATAATGGACGTGTAAAGAAAATCAGTTAAATATAGCTAAAAATTGTAAAAATTAGTGCTTACCATATATGATTTATTTAAATTTTTCTTGGTATTTACTTATTTTTAAATACTTACGACTTTTTGTTATTCAATTAACGGTATTAAAGAAAATCATATTGAACCATCTTTTTACTTTCCTTTATGAGTTTATTTGCAAGCGTTCTAGTGATTCTACTTAAAGTAGGAATTATGCTCTTCCGTTTTACTACCAATCTTCCTTTTATATTACAGCATGGCCCAACTTCAACGCGCTTTAAGCTTATTTCGCTCACTGCCCCCTATTCAAGGCTTAGCCACTTTTCATTCAAGTTCGAAACTAAGAAATGAGTGTTACTTAATTGATTCGCCGGAATATAGTTTTCTGAGGGACGTCGGCTTAGAGCGTGAAAATCCTGGCGTATTTGTCGGCTCCTGGAAAGGTTCTGGGCAAGTGATGATTTCGGTAGATCCGGGTACCGCAAAACCAATTGCGGCGGTGCGCATGGGGACTGTACAAGAAATGGATGAGAGTATACGTGCAGGCGTAGATGCCTACAAAGAATGGTCTAAAGTGCCGGCACCTGTTCGTGGTGACATCGTTCGACAAATTGGTGATGAATTACGTAAATACAAGGAACCATTAGGTAAATTGGTCAGCTTGGAAGTGGGCAAAATATATAGTGAGGGGCAGGGTGAAGTTCAGGAGTCTATTGATATTTGTGATTATGGAGTGGGCTTGTCACGCATTTATGCCGGCCAAATTATCAATTCGGAACGTCCTGACCATACTATATTAGAAGCATGGCGTCCTTTGGGTTTGATAGGTGTTATATCAGCTTACAACTTTCCGAATGCAGTATTTGGCTGGAATGCCGCGATAGCTTTGGTAATATAAATTTTATCTAGTATTTACTATCTAAGCTTATCTTATCTTTCCACCGCAGACAACAGGCAATACTGTATTGTGGAAAGGAGCCCCTAGTACTTCGTTGGTATCTGTGGCTACTACTAAAGTGCTGGCTGAAGTATATAAACGGAACGATTTGCCGCCAATTACCACCTTGTGTCAAGGCGGCGCAGATGTGGGACAGAAAATGGTTTGTGACAAGCGAGTAAAACTGGTATCCTTTACGGGTAGTTGCCAAACTGGTCGCAATGTAGGTGTTGAAGTACAAAAACGCTTTGGCAAAGTTATTTTAGAATTGGGAGGCAATAACGCTTTAATTATTGATGAGAGTGCAAATTTAAAGATGGCTCTGGACGCTGCCCTATTCGGTTGTATAGGCACGGCAGGTCAACGTTGCACAACCACTCGCCGCATTATTGTTCACCAGAAGCTTTATGACAAATTTTTAAAGGATCTGACCAATAAATACAAGCAAATTCTGTCCCGCATAGGTCATCAATTGGAATGTAACACTTTAGTGGGGCCCGTGCATTCGCAACAAAACATTGATAATTATCAAGCCAGCTTAAAAGAAGCACTAAGCTTAGGAGGTACCGTGGCCTTCGGCGGCAAAGTTATTCCACGTGACGGTTATTTTGTGGAACCTACAATTATTACTGGGCTACCGCATGATTCACCGGTGGTCTACCGAGAAACCTTTGCACCCATTGTGTATGTTTTGAAATGCAAATCCGTAGAGGAGGCTATTGCCTGGAACAATGAGGTGGATCAAGGTTTGTCATCCGCTATCTTCACAGAGAACGTAAACCATGTCTTTAAATGGATCGGAGCCCAAGGTTCAGATTGTGGGATCGTTAATGTTAATACAACTACTAACGGTGCTGAAATTGGCGGCGCATTTGGCGGTGAAAAACACACAGGAGGCGGACGTGAATCAGGTTCGGATGCTTGGAAGCAATACTGTAAGCGAGCCACCGTTACTGTAAACCATTCCGGTGACTTAGCCTGCGCTCAAGGCGTTGTTTTTAATATTGAATAAACCAATTGTCTATTGAAATTATAGAAAATCTTTATTGTTATAGATGTAAATGCAAGTGCAATACTACGTTTCCTTTTCGCCAACAGCAAAACGCCAAAAATCGACCTGTATGTCTTTAGATTGATATTTATGAAATTTATAGCTACTTTCAATATTATATTTAAGCTCCGCCACTACTTGACCCTTCACATGCCAATCTTTAGCTTTTTTGCTAATATATTCCCGAGTAGAGGTCTTATGCAAAGAGTATACGGCGTTAGTAGCTAAATGAATGCCAGCTTTAATAAAAAGAACATCTAGACCAGGATTATTTTTCGTCCCGAACGGCGGATTAGTGATAACAGTGTCGAACACATTTTCCCACTTTCGTCCTAAGGATAAAACGTTTTCTTGTATGCCGTCAATAGTAGGTATTTCCATTTCAGTAATATTAGAATGAAAAACCTGCAAGAGCTTTGTTAAAGCGAAAAGGAAATTTTAATAAATATGTTAAAGGTTTACATTTAGAGCTTCCGGATCCAGCTCAAAGCCAATAGTCAGCGAAGAACCCAACAAAAATGCTCCAATAGATAACATCCCGCAGCCACAACCCAAATCACCCACAAGTTTACCGTCCAAATCATCATAACGAGTCTATTTAAAGTATTCTTGTTATAAAAAATTTGCTCTAATTCAGACACCAATCGCAAATTTTTACCTGGATATTGTACAAAACGCAGCTAGCGATGTGGGCTGGTGTGCAATATTGTTCTAATAGGACTTTTGGATTTTTAAAACCATCCAATCCTTGCAGAAATTCTTCTAGGTTTTTCATTTTTAAACGAGCCATTAGAAAAGGTTTAAATCGAAAGCGAAGTGCAATTGATAAAATCGTTGACCTTCGTATGATTCTGTTTATTTGACTGTGTGATTAGCCGGCGAAGGGTCCAAGCGCGGTAATACGGGTATGAAGGAGTTACCGTAATGTGAATCCTGAGGTATAAAATAACCTAATGTAGTGGCACTGGTGGGATTAAATACTGAACGTGGCACCGTTATAGCACCACTACTTTGCGCAAACTCGTTGGGTTGATCTAACAACTGTGTTGGGGGCATCTATAATTGTAGTTTCTGTACTTGACCACACAAAGATAATCTTTCAGAACCTTTCCCTTACCTGGTTGATAGCTGCTGTTAAACCACCGCTAAGACTACTTATATCAGCTACTGGCACACCCTTTTGTAAGAGTTGACGTTTTAATTGCAAATCTTCCAGTATTTTACGATTAGTTTCTGCTTTCAAGGAAACAAAAACTGAAGGGTTCGTAGATGTACATAGACTGCAGGTGAACTAATCCACTTACCTTGCTGTGCCCCCAATGTAGGAAAAGCCATCAAATTAATTTTTGCAATGATAAAAAACTAAAGACGTAAATACTTTAAAAGAAAAACAAAACCTCCAAAAAATGCAGAATTATTTTCACTATACTTCTTGTTCTTATTATGTAGATTCATACGTACAGTAGTTTGCTAGCCTATGTGAAAATAACAAGCCGGTACGAAACAAGATTTCAGAACAAAGAATAACGAATATTATTATTAATAAGTAATAAATATATTTAAGCAAACGTGAAAATTTTTTAAATTAAATAAACAAGCAATATATCTCAAATATTTAATTTGTTCGTCTATTAGTATTTTTAAACAAAATAAAAAAACAACTGTGTAAAAATTTCGGAAGAATTTTGAATACTTTTTAATGGCCATACGACTCTTTAGAGAAGCCTTGATGCTGCCCCTGGGGGTAACATTAAAAAAAAGTAAAAGTGTTATATATATATATATATATATATATAACACAAATATGTAAGTAGAGGGCATATGGCCCTTGTATTTTATAAACAAAAGAATACTTTTTTTCTTAACGAATTATGCACTTTTTTCAATTTTCGCGCTGTTCATTTATATATCAATAAATTAAGATTCTCTAAACATCATCTTTAGTTATTATGCCAATCCCTAAGCGCATTTGCACTTCACAGATAACCGAAAGTTAACTAATACCTTGAGCCACTTCACCTATATGATTAAAGACGTAGATTATTATTCTTAAAATTTTTCTTATAAAAAACAAATGTGTAGTTTGCTTACGACAGATCATGAATATTTTTTGCGTTTCAAATAAGAAATAGTAAAAAGAATTTTTAACTTGTAGCGATCTACGATATATATTTTCATTACAAATTTCGCAATTAATTATAACAAGCGTGAGAATGACCATGTTTATACGGCAGTCACGTTTGAAAATGTAGATAAGAGATTATGTACACAGTTATATCGTAAACATTTAATTTATTATCTTCGAACTTCCGTGATGACCCAATATAATTCTATAGAAAATGAACAAACGAAAAAAAATTGGCTACAAGAAGGGCAATTGTTTGCGAAACTTATCATATTGAGGAAAAAAAAACTCCTGTAACAGCCGCAGAATAGGGTTTTTCTATTAGTTATGGAAAAAAAGGTAACCGAGTACTAATATTTACGAAGGCTGCATTAAGTATATATTACATTATGACAGCTATTTTGAAAAATACTAAAGAAGACAACACTGATGCAGTTTTCACGAGGTTGGCAAACATTCACTTAATGGAAATGTCCATCTAGAAAGAAAATATATATATAATCGAACTTGAGACGAGGATGATAATATAAATAACCAGCATATTTAAGCAATGAAAAGGATGGATTGTAGAGGTTGCATATGTTTTACCAAATAAAAAATTCTTGACTTACTACCAATTATGCTATTTGTTGAATTAATATTAAACAAAGTCCATGTCTTTGTTTCCTTTTTATCGTTTGTTGCAATCGGATCTTGTTATGTACAGCAAGCACAAAAAAACAAGTATCACATATTACGCTGGACGCCGCTTGCATTAAGCATCATGAATCTAATGCCACAATAACTTGATGCATGCATTTACGTACAATTGAATATGTAGCTTTAAATGCATTACTGTAATAATGCAGATAGAAGGAAAACTTTTAATTTTGCTGCATGCTTTTGCGTTGACAGAGAAAAGAATGATATTTATGTAGACAAAATCAAATCCTAATATGATAAGAAACAAACCCTCGAATTTGTAACAGCCAATAATCAAAGTAAAAAGTGAGTGCGTTTAATCATCTTCTAAATTGTTTTTTCTCTAAGTACAAGTAACAAGCGAATTTTCTATTACTACGGACTTTCTTTATTTCATCTCTATAGTAGGAAAGTTAAAGCCAAACGCGTTAAAGTCCTCAGAAATATGATTGATAATAGTTAACAAAGTAGTAGTAGTAGGAGCACCGTTCCCAGATAGCATATCGCTTACGAGGGACTTAGCTGACAAAGCTCTCCAACAGAACATCTGCGCTTCCAACAAATTTTGTCCCTATATACAAAATAATCAATCCCTTTACCTGATTTGCCCAACGCTCAAGATAAATTGAGCGCAACTATATAAAATTAAGTAGAGTAAATTAAGTTGGAACACGTGAATACTTCTGTATGGCGTAAAGTTGAAAACAAAGCATGTGCAAAAAATGAAATTTTTTTTAAAATCAAAACAACGCGAGGGATTAATACCCTCCCCCCTATAATAAATGTATGGGCAATCTTGTTTCAGTCTTTCTAGTGATAATAATAATGAGTAAAAAACTTTTTTCTTTTTTTTGCGCGGAGGTGCTGTCTGCCTCTTAATGTTCCATTGTAAAATCTTTTCATCGATTGGGCTGCTTTTTAATACCAGTCTTCTTGAAGTCTTTGCAATTGGAAGGCTGGAAGTTCGTCACAAACAGACGTAGAGAATACAGAATTTGACAATGAGTATGAATGCGTACACATACATACTTTGTAAGGTCGTTAATGGGCCCTCTGATATCTTACTGGGCATGTATTTTACAATTCTTCCTCTTGCTCATATAATTTACAATTCTTTCTCTTGTTCATATATTTTACAATTCTTCCTCTTGTTCATATATTTTACAATTCTTCACGCCTATGAGAGATTGTTCCTATCATTTTTAAACATTTTTATCTCTTATTATTCAACGAACCCCTTTATTTTATTTTAACACTACTTATAGCAATGAAATAAGAACTTTCCCTTTGTTCAATCGATCATTTTATAATCCACCAAGAATTATATTTTCCCAGAGTAAACTGTTTTGGATGAGTGAAAACACAGCAAGCCAACATATGTATTTATAATATATACATTTTTTTATATTTTTATCTATAATAACATTGATAAGAGTAGTAATTATTTAAAGAGCTGTAAAACACGTTGATGAAGAATCCAAATAGACGGGATGGTTATTTTGGGTAACATATATTTAGATGTTTACATATGTTTAGAAATTTTTCCAACGACTTGGCATAAAGAGCACAATTAGAGCAACTGATTGAGTGGGATGCATTTTTGATAGCTCTCGATCTATGTATGTGCAAAATAATATATTAAATAACATATTGAAACTAAAATGTTATTAACTTGCCTTCAATTTACTGTACTTTTTACCACCCCGTCCTCTTTTGACTATACTACTATGACGTAGTAGTAGTTTCCATTTTATATATTGTAATTAATTAATGTTAAGGCTAAATTTTTTATACTGTTTAACTACTTAGTCTGTAAAAGCAAGCATAATCATCGTACCCACATTCGGTTATTTCGTATCGATGTTACTGATAGACGTTGGCTGATTTGGCTGAGTGAAGTTATTATTTACCCTTTTTTAGAAGTTGTAAATTGTGAATTTTTCTTTTTGACTTTTAACGACCCTGTTTTAACACAAAACTGATATATGAGAATCGCAATACCGATGTAATTTAATACAAAGTAACAAAACCGATTATAACAGGGCGCAATCATACGACTTTTATTCAAATTGACAGTTCACAGTTCACGGCTGTTCATTTTTTTTCGGCTGCTGTGCCATTTTGTTATGTCATATATGGCAGTATTTGTTCTTTTTCATACATCTCTGGGATATAACTCTGTTCACATAGCAGCTGTTTATCAGACGTGTTTTTCACTTTGTGTTTGTTTGCTTGTGTGCAATTTCATTTTTTCATGACATAAATAAAACAATTAGTTGAGTTTTTTCTTTTGTTTTTAATGCATTCAAATTGTAGCGACATATAAAAAGCTTCAGATTTCAGAAAGCTAACTAAGAAATTTTTTCAAAAACTGTATTTTATCGACAGCACAATAAAAAACACGGAAGTTATTAAAGTAAGTGTTTCAAAATATTTCGAAAGCATAATTGGTTCTGAACAGACAGATTATTATATTGGCTACGTATTTAAGCCCAGAACCTCTGGAACCTCTCGTTTATTTGCACTTAAATCAGTATTTTTTTGCTTTTTATTATGTTGACTGTAATTGTTTCTCTCGTCGTTGTTTGTTTCAATAACGCTTGACAACAAAGAGGTCTTTGCAAAAAAATGCATTTGACCAAAAAAAAAAAAGAAAAATAAAAATGCAAAATATTGAAGTTGGGCGTTGTATGAATTTTGCTAAATTATACTTATAAACCCATTATTTTCAAATTACCGAAATAATATTCAACAAGAGTATTATTGTATCTCGTCTTAGTTGAAAGCTATAATATTTCCTTTACGAAAGCAAAATGCTTAGATTGTTCCATCATTTGCTACGGCAATGCAGAGTGACAAGCCTTGTCTGCTGTAATTGTCCGTTAGAAGCCCTAGAAAGTTTTTGCTTCGCATGCGGTTTTCATTGCATATCGCTGAGTTCTTCGTTGATAAAGAATATGGAGAAAATTTCACAATGGTGGATAATGTATGATGCATGTGTACACGCTTAACGACAAACGCTTGTGAGACAAATGCTAAGCTTAGGTTAAAGACTTTTCGATAGAAACCACTGAATCACGTGGGAAGGTTTTATTTACAAAATAGCTTGACATAGATGGGTATTCGTAACTACATACGTACGTATTTATTTGTAGATAAGTGTTAAAGAAGAGCGTCAAGTATATACATACATTTTTTGATGAACTGTGATTATCATTTTAGTTTAAAAAACATCAAAGAAAATGTCACACAATTTAAATAACGGTGCTTCAGCACCTCCACCACCGATAACTCATCGTGATTATGGGGCCACTTCCACCAGTAGCACAACGGGCAACAACACTTTCCCTGATGTCAATTTTTCTGGTTTTAGTCCCACTGAATTCATGTCACTGAGCGAAGATATCGCCCATAACGTACAAACAATTAATTCTAGCTGTAAGCAATTGGAAAAGCAACTTAAAATTTTAGGTACACCTAAAGACCAGCAATCGGTACGAACTAAAGTTCATAATATACATAGCAAGACAAATGCTCGCGTAGAAGCTACTAGTACAGATTTTAAGAGGCTCACAGCTATCGTGCAACGGGGCGATAAACAGCAGAAATTGCAACTGGAAAAGTTAACCAATGACTTTCGTTCAGTAGTCGAAAAGTATTTGAATATCCAAAAACGTATGGCAGCGGCAATGCGTAAGACTTACACACAAACAATGTTAATACAAGCGCAGGATGATCTCGCCAATACTGAAATTCTAGACTCGGAAAGAACTGAACTACTGCAACGCCAGCAACAGTTGCAACAACAGCAACAAGTACAATTTGAACATGACTTGATGGTGGATCGTGAACGGCAAATAAAGCAAATCGAGGCCGATATCCAGTACGTTAATAAAATAATGTATACTATGAGCGGTTTAATGCAGACACAAGGTGAAGAAGTAGGTAAGTTAATCGAATTCTCGCGCAGTATGAATATCAAAGACTATTGATCTAAATCAGATCTTTTGAAAACAAGCATTCGTCGTTTGTTTAGTTTTTAGAAGATGGGCAGTCAAATTAGAAAATACATAATGTACTGTGGAAGCACAGAATGCACAATATTCCTGTAATATAATTGTAACATGTCATATAATAGCATAACGTTGCTCATACCCAAACATAAATGTACGTAACTAATACGATAGAGTGCCTATAATGTACAACTGAACATTGATCATTTTTACATAAATCATACACGATATTTGTGAAATGTTCCGCTTAAGAACGCTGAACTGCAAGAGGGGTTTACCTATATCTGTTTGTATGCCTATCTATCTTGCTTCCATCCGTCTCGTTTGTTGCCAAAGTCACTAGTCCCATCAAGGAATTTTACGCAAAGGTAGGAAGTTATCCTCAAAATTGTTTTTGTCATATTAAGTTTAATAATGAGTTCAGTTAGCACATTGGATCGTTAGACAAATTGCATAATTGACCGCATTTTCCGAAACTGTTGAGCTTCGCGTTTTAAATTCTTTGCCATAAAATATTTGTACCGATTCCAAAGACCGCTTAATCTCTATTCAAAGTTGAAATCTAAATAAAATGGAGTATGATTTTATCTGCGATGCCGCGCATGCCACATTTTAAATGTTCGATGGTCTATAAAATACTCTATTTAAAGTCACTTTCAGTGGGTATGCTCTCAGTCTTATCAACGTTCACAAAGGAAATGGTCGCATATGTGGAGATGACAACATCTCTAGTAAAACGCGATTGTCTGATGCGATTCGTAGGTCAATGGCACCGTTTTTTTTTTGCTTTTTCTCAACTGGTGGAAGACAAACAATTACAATTAACTTTAATGTTTATTGAGCGAAGATAGAAAATTGATTATGGAACACACAAGGGTTTAATTGACATCGAAACCACATTAAATGACGAGGGCTACTTCGATATTCAATTTCGGTTGCTAGGCTGTGAAAAGAGATTTTTATTATGATATGTGAATGAATTATCTGTTCTTACGTTAATTGCAAAAAAAAAAAAAAAAAAAAAAAAAAAAACAGCATTGTCTACTCCTAAGAAGCTTTGTATTCGTTCAAACATATGTCGCCACAAGTTGTCCCTCTGTGATAAAAGTAAAAATCAGTTAAAAAATGAGCTAAAATAACGAAAATGAGGAGTAATAGTTCACTTGAGTAGCAGCGAAATTCGTTATTTGAATTTTTAGTTTTCGCTTTTTCAATTATTTAATCTGTAATATTTTTGTCCGTCTAATCGTGTCGCTTTGGGGCGGAGCGTCTGTTTTATATATCACATCGTGAACTTGGCCTACGATTTACTTTTGTGCCATTGTCATTCAAGTTTTTTTTGCTGAGATTGAAAACAAGAAAATGTATAAGGGAAGTCATATCACGTTTATGAGATCATTACATCAATGTTGTAAATTGCAATTAAATGTTGCATTCCATAAGATCGGTACAAATTTTGTTCTTCCAAATAAAGCTTCCAAATTTTAAATATAATTTTTATCAACCGACACATGTTTTGTGATCAATTTCAATATTTATAAATATAAAAATTTTTTGGGGATTCCATCGATGGGTACTTATGTATATGTGATGAATATAAATGCAATTTGTTTCTGTTACACTTTATGTTCGAAATCCCTAAAGAAGAGAGTGTTCAACGAAAAAATTTTGATTTTTACTTTACAGATCGCATTGAGACTAGTATTGAAAATGTCGCTGCTGATGTTGAATTGGGTCGGGAACAACTCGCCAAGGCTTCTGGGCGACGTCAAGGTTATCGACGTAAAATGTTAATACTTTTAGCAATTGCTGTGATAATAGGTTTAATAGTAACTGTCATTATTGTTAGTAAATTGACTAGTTAAATGCATAACGTTTGGTCAACACGTACACCCATGCATGCACGCGCGCATGTTCACATTAAACAAATTTTCAGAAAAACTATAAAGATGAAAAAAAACTATAAATTTTAATTGTATTGTGTGCGCGCGTCTGTTGGTATTGGTGTGTTTTTATTCGATTTTAAGCAGCATTGAATGCTGGCGAAATTTATATTTTGGTCTATTTTCAAGACCTTATCCTGGATTTTTTTTTCTTTTTTAATACATTTCATTAATTTAATTATTCAAAGCGGCAAATAATTGTATATGATTGTTGCCGTTTAACAAAAGAAATATGTTTTATTTTGAAATTAATTTCAAATTTATTAAATGAGCAAAATAGTTAAGAAAAAATGCATTGCAAAGTAATCAAAAAATGACTATCACCAACATTGAACTTTTGTGAGATTTAAGAAAACATCGCACACACACTCACACTCACAAACACACTCACAAACACACACACACACACACACACACACACACACACACACACACACACACACACACACACACACACACACACACACACACACACTCACACACACACACACACACACACACACACACACACACACACACACACACACACACACACACACACACACACACACACACACACACACACACACACGAACACACACAAACACACACACACACGAACACACACAAACACACACAAACACACACAAACACACGAACACACACAAACACACACAAACACACACAAACACACGAACACACACAAACACACACACGCACACAAACACACACACACGCACACACACATATATATATAGGCATACACACACAGGCATATAAAATATTGTAATTGTTTGATTAAAATACGAATAAAACTTATTGAAAGTATTAAAACCAAATAACTGCATTGGATTTAAAATGATTATATATGTATGTATACGTTTATCATCGTAGAATTGCGAAAGCAGCAGGTGTTTTCTATTATTATGCTTGCAGTGAACACGGAAATATGTATCAGAGTGTATATTCTTCATTACTGTAACAATTTGAGTCGAAATAATTACTTTCAGGTTTTTAATGTTGCCAGAATACTTGCAATTCTCGACCGTTTTTAGTTATGATTGAAGATCAAGTTTCAAGGCATGACCATAAACTGCCCATCGATAATCGAAATTTCTTTTTAATTTAATCATTTGTTTACCAATTAATATTTTATTGAAGATATTTTTGTATTATTTTCAAAAAAACGACGTAAAATTTTGAATAACGAACGTTCATTAGACATCGCTTGTTGATCGAAAAATAACTGCTAAAACTCGGAACTATGGCGACTTTTCTAAATCGAAAGCAATCGTCTTTTGGTGATTGGCTTACTTTAAGTTTGGTCGTACAGACGTTGTTGATGCTAACAGAGCTGCTTAAATTAGAAGATGTTCCAAAAAAAAATTCTAAAAATTTTACCTAATAACTGAAAAATTAAGTCGCAAGATTTCGCTGATATTACTGAAAGGCAATGTCTTTACTATTTTGCATGAAAATGTCATCATGAAGAATCTGAGGTTGATAGTTATCGAGCTATAGTGCGAGACGAAACAGAAAAACGACATGATCGCTTTCTGCGTGGATGGTATTCGAATGTTCGTATGGAGTAGGGCTTTTCGTTCGCTGCATTTACAATGGAGGCTTTGTGATGCCAACATCGATGTAAATATTAGTTTAGGGAAAAAGAAATCCATTATTTTTATATGAACTTCAGGACTTTATTTAACATGCTTCGGATTGTCCGATTTGGGTCAAATATGCACCGTTTTGTTGTATGATTTGTTGCCATTTTAAAGGTAACTTCAAAATGCCTCTCTCATAGAAGTCCTGGTCTCTATTTGCAAAAAACTCTAGTGGTCGATTTTCACAATCCTCCCTAGATTCCAATTTTTTATCATTAAAGAAATTTTGCAATGCAAGAAAAAGATGATAATCGCTTGGTGCCAAGTCCGGACTGTATGGTGGATGCATTAAAACTTCCCAAGCAAGCTCCCGAAGTTTCTGGCGAGTCATTGTAGATGTGTGTGGCCTAGCGTTGTCCTGGTGGAACACGACACCTCTCCTGTTGGCCAATTCTGGCCGTTTCTGGTCAATCGCTATCTTCAAACGGTCCAGTTGTTGACAGTAGAGATCAGAATTTAGCGTTTGGCCATATGGAAGCAACTCATAATAAATAATCCCCTTCCAGTCCCACCAAATGCATAGCAAAACCTTCCTGGCCGTTTGAGATGCTTCACCGCTCTTTGACCACGTTCGTTTTCGCACACGGTTATCGTATGTGATCCATTTCTCATCTCCAGTCACCATCCGTTTAAGAAATGGGTCTATCTCATTCCGTTTGGCCAAGGCTTCGCAGATGGGAATTCGATCCATCATGTTTTTTTCTGTTAATTGGTGTGGCACCCAAACATCGAGCTTCTTTTTGAATTCAGCTTTGTGTAAATGGTTTAAAACTGTTTTATGGTCGATTTTTAGTTCCTGGGCGATGTTACGACTGCTAACATGCCGGTCAACTTCGATCATTTCTCCGATTTTATCGACATTTTCGACGACCGGCCTACCTGTGCGAGGTGCATCTTTAACATCAAAAATTCCTGAACGGAATCTACGAAACCAAAATTGCACATAATTGGCTGTTACAGTATCGGAACAATAAACACCGTTCACAATTTTAGCCGCCTGGCATGCATTTTCGCCTTTGTCAAAGAAAAACTATAAAATGTACCGAATTTTCTCTTTGTTCACTTCCATTTTTAACACGCTGTAACTTACAACTGAATGCACCAAACAAAAAACAGCAAAAGAATTTTTTTTACTGCGAAATGTCACCTTTCCAACGAGCATATATATGAAATTGTTTGATCGATACTTTACGAGAAATCTATCAGTGCAGCCATTTACCGAAAAAATAATGGATTTCTTTTTCCCCAAAATAATATTTCCTTTGCTTCTTCAATAATTTATATTCTTTCGTGGACACTTATAATAAAGTTCGATCTTTACGTAAAAGTGTATTAATACATTTCAAACAAATTCGACATTCAGACCCGGCATCTTGCTTTTTTCTTCTTATTTCCTCCGATCAACTTAATATTTTCACTATAATATACTTTGGAATATGATAGTGTTTGGCAGCATTACGATAACCATAGCAAGGATTTCGCTATTGAAGATGTCAAGATATTTATTCGCAGTAATTCGGGCAGTGATGTGGACGAGAGGGCCAGCGGAATACAACAATATAGTCGCCCACATCATAAGTCAACCTCCTCAATGCTTGGCTGTAGTAAGCAGGCAGTCCGGATCGAAGGCTCCGTACATAAACCCGGCCGTTCATTGGAAACAATGCGTGGTGGTTCGATGTTGTCCGGCCGCAAAGATTTTTAAAGATCTTCGGTGTCTGTCAGTTAGTTTAGAGTTGCTTTTCGCCGATTATATTTTGCCAAGTTTTGTTGTGTATGCTCTCACTATCGTAAATACCGTCGGTCGTGAAACCTTAAGCGGTTCAGCTGCTTCTTTTCCCACTAATTGGGTACCAACGATTTGGCCTCTTTCGAAGTCCAAGAGATCATTTCACCGATCGCTTGTTTTAACCCTCACAGAACAAAGCTTGAAGTATAACTTATAAAATTCGTCACGTAAACTGCGCAATAGATATAGTGTCGTCACCAACATGCAACAAGATGGTACTAAACTGCATAGTGCTCAAATTATTTTGTATGTACGTCAAGGTTTAGTTTTCTGAATTCCTAATAAACAGAGAGACAAACGAACAGACGGATATGAATTCTGAAAAATGATGGGAAAATTGTCAAAGGCGCATTTGTGCATACACGCATATATTTATGGCATCTTGACTTATTGCTTACATTGGCAAATACGGATAACCAATAAAGAGACGTATGTGGTTCAAATTTGGGCCAATTAATTTTTATGTCAAATTACTACCTCGAAAAAATTAATTTTTACCCCGACCGATTAACAATTAAGCCTTTTTGGCCTATAAGGGTTTATATTTCCTGAGAATCTTTATATGCGGGACTAATGACAAAACATATCTACGTGGTCCAAGTTTTGTAAAGATGATTCTTTTTATTAATTTACTATTGTGAACTCATTTTCATGAAATATTAAAAATTTGATCTTTTTACTATATAAAGATTCAGTTTTCATAGAAACGAGTATACGACAGAGAATTTAAAAATTTTCCACAGCCGAACTAAATTTTTCATATCAATTCAGAATTCGGCCTAAAAAGTGAACTGGTTCGAAATATTTTCGATAGCGTTTGGGTCATCAAAATATCTAAAAAATTGCGATCCGTAGGTTGAACAACATGTTTACAAAATGATTCTGAATCGATCAGTGTTATAAAAAAAGGGAGCTATCTTAAGCCCTTCTGGACGTTATGTGTATCCGCACAAACTTAATATATATAAATATATATTAATATATATATATACCTGTACCACAAGTGATCTAAGTTATAACAAAGTTGTGCTCATGTGGCTAAAGACGTGTTTTGTATGAATGGGGATGCGTCGAATTGCGCCGTTACTGGTGGCAATGCATCGACCGAAGGTTACGATCCGATACGAGTGTTAGAGGCCAGCGGCAACTAACATAGAAATAATGACAGTTTTCTCCGATTATCGTGATGTGAAACGGTTAATAAGGTAGACAATTGCTACATTCTAGTCTAATCGTGAAAAATGTTTCTTCATTTCTGCCGATTCATCGTCAAGAACTGCCATAACTTTTCACCAAGTTTTCAACTAATGCCGTTCTACAAGCACTATAATGCTGTGAATAAAATGTCGGACCTAATTCTCAAGCTAATTTGCACGGGTATTGAATAGTAAAAACATTTTTTCTTTAAATTAATAGGCATCTGAGCCAAATTTACAAGATAAACGTCATTAGCATTTCAGCTGCGTTTGAGTTTGGGCGACGCAAGAAGTATTTTCTCCGATTTCTACAATGTGTGATTTCTTTGAACAAACAAGTTGCATTAAACATGGTTTGCGAAATGAAATGAAATGAGGCATGGATCTACGCATACGGCCCGTAAAAGTTGAGCCAAGATCGAAAAACCGCTTCAAAATCACTTAAAAGTTAAGTGTAAACAAATTTCTCCGGTTCGATCGTGGATATGAATTCCTTCCGGCGATCCAAAGTATTAATGAAGAATGTTAATTGAGTTTGAGGATTACTTTGAAATAGATTTGGAATAATAAATAGATTTAAAAATCAAAAAAGCTGCATTGATCCTTTTTTATGAACGCATTAGCATTTATCTGAAATAGCCCCGAGTGCCGATTTTCTTTTCACATATTTAAAGGAACAAGAGCTCATATATTTAAAGTAACGAGCAGAATGGAACCTTAGGCGTTACTGAGTTTTGAAAGAAATTTACAAAATAAATCACGACGAAAAGAA